CAATAACAAAGCATGAATATGAAATATGAATACAAAGTCACATTTGTCTTCTGCAATATAAGAGGTGCACAAAAGTGGTTACCATTAGTGTCCAGATACATCTGATTATGGCAAACTAAAAATAATACATAAGTAACAACTCTTAATATGTGTATACTTTTTTTGGCACTCCTGGTATATCACAATGCCTTTATTCATTCATCCGTTGGTGGACACAAGTTGATTTTATTAGCTATTGTGAATTATTCTGCAATAAACATGAAAATGCAGATATCTGTTCGATACATTGATGTGAATTTTTTTGGATATATACCCACAAGTAGGATTGCTGGATCATATGGCAATTATATGTTTAGTCTTCCGAGCAACGCATCCTCGACGTGCTGGGCTCCGGCGATGGGCTCCGGCGATCCTTCCGCCTCAACCTTCCAAGTAGCCGGAATTACAGGCATGCGTTACCACGCCCGGCTGATTTTTTGATTTATTGTAGAGATGAGGTCTCGCTGCCCAGGCGAGTCTCGAACCCATGGGCTCAGGCAATCCACTCACCTCAGCCTCCCAAAGGCTGAGCCACCAAGCCCGGCTGAGTCAAGGTCAAGGTTTCTTGTGCTAAAGTGTAAGAAGCACCACTGAGGAAGATCATGGACATCAGTGTTGTTGTTTGCTAATATCACTGAAGGATTAAGGAATTCCCACTTACTGATGTAGATATTTCTGAGTGTAGAGATTCCCCAAGCATTTTAAGGCCTGAGCTGCCGACAGCTGGGCGCTTGTCTCCCCAGTTCTGCTTCAACAACCCAGGTAGGACGAGTGGGCAACGCTTCTCGTTTTCCTTCTTTTTTTCTTTCTCCCAGTTGTCTATCTGGGCCTGGGTTGCCTTTAATTGAGATGGGATCTGGGAGATGCGGGGTCTTTAAAATCCCTTATCCCATCATTCCTTCTCAACTGCACAATGCAAAACTCGTGGGAATGTTTTACTTGGGCCATGTAAACAAAATCACTAGTAAGGCAGGGTGGCTAACACTGGTTAGACATAGATACATTTCCCACAGGTAGGTTTTAGGTAGCGTTCAGACCTTTAAAAAATTACATTTTACTACAAGCCACGCTGGCAGTCTACCCCACCCCCTCAGCAAATCAAAAGAAAACTTCAGATGCAATACTAGGACAGTCCAACCTTTCAAGTCATGGTTTAGCATAATAATCTCTAAGAATCTTTCAGTTTCCCTGTTGAAGGTGGAAGGCCAAAGACCACCCCTTAGCTGGCCAAAGCCATGGAAACGATCATAAGACCACCTTTTAGCTAAGGAGCTTGTGGATTGGAAACATCTGACGGGTCTCTCACGGGAAGCTATGTGGTCAGGAAAAGACCCCTTTCCTTGTCTCCTCCCATCAAGAGACCAGAGACGTCAGGCTCTTCTGAGTCACACCTGAACTCCATCATTAGCATATCAATAATTAGGTAGCTATATCTAGTTTGCAGTCGAGAACAAAATGCCCAGTTTTTCTTCTTTGAAAAACTTGCCCATGGCAGGTCTTTCTGCCACGAAACTTTCTTCTTCCTTCTGTTCTCTTATCTCACTAGTAAACTTTGAAAACTTAGCTGGCCGTTCTAAAATTCATTTTAGAAATGAGCCAAATAATCCACTGGTTTTATGCCACATCCCACCTGGCATCACTAGGGTTCAAGTTCCAAGGACACATGGTCTGTAAAAACTCCACATGTAGGAACACTGTGAGCCAAGACAATGCACAGGAGAGTGCAGAGGAACAGATAAACTGTTTAAGAAAAATATAACAGGGATTTTTTTCTATGGTTACTCTCTTATTTTTATTACATTTGTCAAGAATATTTATCTCTCTATACAACATTGTTTTGAAGAAAAAAATAACGCCTCTGGGAAGAAGTACCTTTCATGGAAGTATAAGCTTGACAAAAAGTACACAATTCAAACTTGATGAATTATGAAATCCCTTTAGGAAAAACAGGCCCTAATATTGACTTCCAATCAGAAATGACATGCTTAAACAGGTGGAGGAATCCCCTGTGCCCCGACACATTAAAAAGGTGCATAAAATAACCTGGGGGAAAAAAAAAGAGAGATAGTCTTATAGATAACTGAAATTAAAAGCATTGAAGGGAAATCTCCAGGTGCCAGAAATGAAGATACAGTCCATAGCCTAAGGCAGGGCAAGGTGGCTCATGCCTGTAATCCTGGAACTTTGAGCGGCCAAGGTGGGAGGATCACTTGAGCCCAGGAGTTCAAGACCAGCCTGGGCAACACAGCGGGACCCTGTTTCTACCAAAAAAAGAGGAAGAATCCATAGTCTAAGCTAGTGGCAAACATTGAAGTCAGGCAGCCCCCCGGGGGATCTGGACCAGACATCCATCTCAGCAGCTGAGAGTATAACACCCATATGGACATTTGGGGAGGGGGTGTCTTCAGGCTCTCACAACAGGGAGGTACAACTGAGCTGTCTGTGAATAGGCAGGAGCTGGGAAAGTCCCAGTAGCCAGCAGCATCTGATAAATCTCTGCGGCCAGGCACAGTGCCTCACAACTGTCATCCCAGCACTTTGGGAGGTGGAGGTGAGAGTATTGCCTAAGTCCACAGGTTTGAGACCAGCCTGGGCAGCATGACAAGACCTTGTCTCTACAATTAATCAAAAAATTAGCCGAGCGTGGTAGTGCATGCCTGTGATCCCGGTTGCTTGGAAGGCTGATGCAGAAGGACTGCCTGAGCCCAGCAGGTCGGGACAGCAGTGACTGTAAGCGTGCCACTGCACTCTGGCCTGGGCTACAGAGTGAGACTCTGACTCATTAAAAAAAAAAAAATCTCTGCCTTCCAGCCCCAGGGGTAGCAAGAGGTGAGGTGACCTAGAACCCAGAGTCCTCTGTGAGATGGGAAGTGTCATTCCGTGCCATGTGGGAGTTGAATTTGTGTTATTCACAAGGTAAGGAAATCCTACGCTGAATAGGTCCATACAAATGGCAAACTGGGAAAAAATATGTGCAGTTTATATCACAAGGAGTTAACATCCCTACTATATTAAGAAATTCTAAAAATAGAGAAGAAAAAGAATAATTCTATAGAAAAAACAGGCAAGAAATATGAATAGACAGTTGTGAGAAAAAATGCCTAAGGCTGAGACATGGAGATGTTCAACCTCACTTATAATAAGAGAGAGACAAATTAAAACTGATGTGAGCCAGGTGTGGTGTCTTGTGCCTATAATTCCATGACTTTGGGAGGTTGAGGAGAGAGGATTGCCTGAATCCAAGAGTTTGAGGTCAGCCTGGGCAACTTGGCAAGACCTCGTCTCTACAATAAATCGAAAAATTAGCCAGGTGTGGTGGCGTACGCTTGTAGTTCCAGCTAGTTGGGAGGCTGAGGCAGAAGGATTGTCTGAGCCTAACAGGTCAAGGCTGCAGTGGCAGTGAGCATGCCACCGCACTCCAGCCTGGGCAATAGAGTGAGACTCTGACTCAAAAAAAACCCCAAAAAACTGATGTGAGAGATCATTTCTTACCTATTAGATGGTCAGAAATCTAAAGTTTGACAGTACACACTGTTGATGAGACTGTGAGAAAACAGACGCTCACACATCTGTATGGGTTGAATTGTATCCCCCCATTCTTGTTTAGAATCTTTAACCTCCAGTTCCTCAGAATGTGACTGCATTTGAGTGGGGGACCTTCAGAGAGGTAATTCAATAAAAATTAGGTTGTTAGGATGGACCCTAAGCCAGCGTGACTGGTGTCCTTATAAGAGGAAACTTGGACATACAGAGAGAAACCAGGGATGCTCGCGCACAGAGGAGAGGCCCTGTGAGAACACCACGAGAAAGCAGCCATCTGCAAGCCAAGAGCGAGGCCTCCGAGGCGGACAAAATCCACTGGCATCCTTGCCTTGGGTTTTTGCCCTCCAGGACTGTGAGCAAATACATTTCTACTGTTTAAGCTGCCCAACCTCTGGCACTTTGTTATTGCAGCCCTGGAAGACTGATACAACATTGCGATAGGGAATGCGATTGAAGGGAAATTGGGTAATATCTGACAAAATTACATACACATGTAATTTTTGCTTTGACCAGCAATCCTACCACACCAAAAACAAATCTAAGAAAAAAAAACTGTCAAAAATATAAAAAGATGTTTGTACAAGATGACTTAAGCACTATTTGTGTTAGGAAAAGACTGGTTGAGTAAACAGTGCTTCCATCCTACAATAGGGTATATAGAGAAAAAAATGGGAATAAGAGATATCTCTGTATTCTGATATACATAATTTTTTTGAGTTGGAGTTGCATTCTGTCGCCCAGGCTGGAGTGCAGCGGTGCGTTCATGGCCACTGCAGCTACGACCTGCTGGGTTCAGAAGATCCTCTCCGCCTCAGCCTCCCGAGTAGCTGGAACTACAGGTGCATGTCACCACATCCAGCTAATTTTTTGATTTATTGTAGAGATGAGGTCTCGTCAAATTACCCAGGCTGGTCTTGAGCCCCTGGGGTCAGGCAATCCTCTCGCCTCAGCCTCTCAAAGTGCTAGGATAACAGGCATGAGCCATCGACCCCGGCTTCACAGAATATATTATTATTGAGTGAAATAAGCAAGGTGCAGGACAAGGTATATTAAATAAAACCATTCATTTAAGAAAAGGGAAATATATGAATATAGACGCAAACTATTTTCTTATATTTTTTGAAGAAAATGGAAAAAATAAAAACGAATGCAGTTGGTTATAAGGAGAGAAGGCGCAATGTGGAGAGAACAGAGAGGACAACCATCCTTCTCCGAGTGCATCTTTTGTGGCTTTGACTTTGGAACTCTGGTGACTAGAGTTGATTAAGATTCTTTGATCCTTCTCTGTCTCTGTCTTCTCCTCTTGGATCCAGGAGAGTTCTGTGACCACTTTGCCAAGAGAATGCAGTGGAAATAATGTTGTGCCGGTTTCCAGGCTCAGATCTTAAGAAACTGACAGCAGCTGCTTCCTGCCTTCTGGAATGTTTGCCCTTAGATGCTCACTCTGGGGGTGCCAGTGGCCATGGCAAGCTTTTGACTAGTCTGAGACAACTGGTATGTTGTGAGAAGCCCAAGGCACATGGAGAAGCCCTGGAGGAGATGTATCTTGTGGGGAGAGAGGCCAAGGCACAGCAGAGCGCCAGATGAGGAGCCCTCTTAGAAGAGCTGCTAGCTCCTGCTGCCTTGGGAAGTGCAGACAAGTTACCCAGCTGGGCCCTTTGCAAAGTCCGCACTCACAAAATCATGACCAGAAGAAAATGGTTGTCTTAAGCCACTAAATCTTGGGATAGTTTGTCACGTAGCAATTGATAACTGAAACAGAAATTATATAAATGTTTTACAAAATTATAAAATAAATTTAAAGAAAAAAATTTAAAAATCAGTATCTAAAAGGCAAAAGCAAAAATTAAATAGACTCTAACCTTGTACAAGTTGGGGGGCATAACCACACAGAAATGAATTATGATTATTATTATTTTGAGCTGGAGTCTCACTCTGTCGCCCAGACTGGAGTGCAGTGGCCGCTCCCGGCCACCGCAGCCTCGACCTGCTGGGCTCCGGCGATCCTTCCGCCTCAGCCTTCCAAGTAGCCGGCATTACAGGCATGCGCTACCACACCCGGCTGATTTTTTGATTTATTGTAGAGATGAGGTCTCGCTGCCCAGGCGGGTCTCGAACCCGCGGGCTCAGGCAATCCACTCACCCCAGCCTCCCACAGGCGCGGGATTACAGGTTGAGCCACCGAGCCCGGCTCATCTTTATTTTAAAAGACGAAAAAAAGTGCTATGCCTATATCTCCTTACTTGGTAACCACATGTCTGCTGTTGGGGTTTGGCCTAGACGTGTGCTTTCCAGTCTCGTAGATACTGGTCACATGTGTCTATTTAAATTAATTTAATTTAGCCAGGCTCGGTGGCTCAGCCTGTAATCCCACGCCTTGGGAGGCTGAGGTGAATGGAT